TGCTTGCAGTACTGGAGGTAAATGTTCTTCTGGAAAATTTCCAGAGGGTTCTTTTGTGTCCAAATTACTCTTAGGTAAGTTCTTACGTTCTCCCTGCTCCATGAACTTTTCATTATAACTAGAAACAATCATTCCCATTAAAATTATTAAAATCATTAAAGAACAAGAGCAAAAGATAAAAATAGAGAGAGCACACTTAAACCCAGGAAGCCTGCTGTTTCCTTGAAACAATTGCTTCAGGCCGGTGACTATGTCACGCAGACCCCACTGGGGCTGTCGTGGCACTTCTACCAGACCCGTAAGCCTGGTCTTCTTCTTTTTTTTTTTTGTAATGATTTTGAGTTTTGTTTCACATTGTTCTCCCACTCTATCCAGGATCTCCTGCACTGATACCTTTCCGAGCGGTTGATAGTGGTAGCTGGGCACCATTTAGTCCTTCTGCTCTCGTGGTCACGTAGGCTGAGGTTTGGATGGTCCACTAGTCCCTTTAACTAATTGTTTCCCTGCATATTTTTTTTTTTCATTCTTCTTTGCTCCGGATGAGGAGACCAATTGTTGCATCTAGATGACAACTTTCAAGCAGGGGTCCTTGCCTTCTCCTGACAAAGGATTGAACAGGAGAGGCAACATGTCCACACAAACCAGTTTATTAAACAGACAAGAGAAGGGAGGGGCTTACAAGGGAGAGATGGTGATGGGCTTTCGCCTATGCTAGCCTCTGCTCTCTCACCGAACAAAGGACTTCCTAGGGTTTATAAAGGGTTTTAGTCAGGAATAAGGAATAGGTGGGGATTTCTGGGAAGAAGATGGGGTTATGAAAATCAGGTGCACATGCAGGAGATAGACAGGATGGATTCCACTGTAAAGGTTGTTGAAACAAAGCTGGAACCTGTTGCAAAAGCTGCTGGGATGTTGCCATGACTTGTACTGGGATGTTGTGCATGCGTGTTATCTCTGGACCCTGGTTCAAGTCTCGGCAAGGGATTCCTGTTCTTGACTGCCTCTGGTGAAAGGTGACTTTGTTGGTCAAGTTGAATTTTGCTGTGCATGCTCCACACCTGGTGATCCATGGTACTCCAAGGTTTATCAGCATCCTACAATGGTTAAGCTTGTGGGGCTTTTGAGATATAATTTCTTATCTTGCCTAAGAGCCTGGCTTGCCAGCCAGCAGTAAGAATTATGTGGAAGTCTGAATTTAGGCTTAAATTCCAAGGGTATTTTAGTCAGGGGCCTGTTTGACCTGGTTAGTCCAATTCCTTGCCTGTCTCAAAACAACTCCTCTTTGTCTATGTACAGGTTCCTCGTGATCACAATTATGTGTTCTGGAATTCACATTCTTCTCAATGTTATCCATAATTTGTTATAACCCATACAGACAAATGACTTTGCATAGTCAATAAAACATTGGTAAACATCTTTCTGGTATTCTTTGCTTTGCATTAAGATCCATCTGACATCAGCAGTGAAGTATCCCATTCCATGCCTTCTTCTGAATCTGGCTTGAATTTCTGGCAGTTCCCAGCCAATATTCTGCTTTATCATTATAATTATCTTTAGCAAAATTTGACTTGTGTGTATATTAATGATACGGTTTGATAATTTCCACATTCTGTTGCATCACTTTTCTTTGGAATAGGCATGAATATGGATCTCTTCTAGTCAGTTGGCTAGGTAGCTGTCTTCCAAATGTCTTGGCCTAAACAAGTGAACACCTCCAGGACTGCATCCATTTGTTGAAACATCTCAGTGGGTATTCCATCAATTCCTGGATACTTGTTTTTTTGCCAATTCCTTCAGTGCATCTTGGACTTCTTCCTTCAGTACCATCAGTTCTTGATCATATGCTACCTCCTAAAATGGCTGAACATTGACCAATTATTTTTGGTGTAGTGATTCTGTGTATTCCTTCTATCTACTTGGGTATATACCTACAAATGGACTTGCTGTATCATGGGATATGCATATGATTCACTTTTTTAAGAAGTAATATTTTACTGTATTTTCAGTGAAAGTGTACACAGCAAAACTTGTTCCCATTCACCAATTTCTATACATATTATTCAGTGATGTTGGTTCACATTTTATCAACATTCTCACTATTTCTGTTCTAGTTCTATTCCCATTAACACATTCTCACAGCCCTTCACCCACACCCCAACCTTCTCATCTATGCTTTAGAATAGTTGTTGACCATTTCGTCTTATATAGGTGGTTTTCTAAAACAATCACAGCACTCAAGGGTGATAGTCATTTCTTTATAAGCTAACTTGCTGTTTAGCTAAAAGGTGACTTCAGATGGCATTTTCTGTTCAGGGCTTAAAGAACATTTCAGGGCAATAGTCTCAGGGATTCCTCCTGACCCAGTGAGTCCAGTAAGTCTGGATTTTTTTTCTCCTTTTTGATCAGGATCCATCGATTGTGGTCCTGATCAGAACATATGGCAGTGTAGTTGGGTACCATCTAGTTCTTCTGGTCTTATAGCAGAGGAAGCCATGGTTAATGTAGACAATTAGTCCTGTAGACTGGTTCCTTCTCTAAGTCTTGAATCTCCTTCTTTCTCTTGCTCCAGATTAGCAAAGACCAATAGCTGTATCTTAATTGGACACTTGCAAGCTTTTAAAACCCTGGACACTGCTCACTGGACCAGGACACAGAACATAAACTTTAAGCACTGTATTATTCCAGTTGATCAAGTTGTCCCACAAGACTATGACCATAAGTCTTCAAACCAAGAAAACTACTCCCTTAAGGTGATTGGTTATGCCCCAAAAGTCTCAGTTTCTGTGACTCTTATTTGCTTTAAAGTATATAAATTATATATATACACATACATACATATATACATGATTTGCTTTTGTAAACAGTCAAAGGGGTTGTAGTAATTTACACTTCCACCAGCAATGTGTGAGATTTCCACATCCTCACCAAAATTTTATTTTCTCTTTTTTCACCATTCTGAAGTTATGTAGTGCAGCATGTTGTTGTTGTTGTGTGCCATCAAGTCGGACCCAACTCATAGCGACCCCTCCTTGGGTTTCTGAGGCAGTATCACTACGAAAGTAGATTGCCCCATCTTTCTTCCGAGGAGTGGCTGGTGGGTTTGAACAGCCAGCCTTCTAGTTAGCAGTCATGTGCCTTAGCCACTGTGCTACCAGAGCTCCCAGTAGTGCAGCATAGCACTAGAGTTTTCATTTCTTTTTATTAATTTTCATTTCCTTGATGATGAATTGGGAGCCTTTTCTTGTTTATTGGCCACTATTTTGGTATCTTCTATTATGAAGTTCTTGTTCAAGTCTCATTTTTCTTCCTACTTAAAGGCATTCTTTAATGGATGGATACAAGTTTTTGTCAAATATGTGTATTGAAAATAACTTATCCCTTTCTATATATTTCAATTTATCAATCTTTTCCTTTCTGGTTAGTGCTTTTTCAGCTGTTTAAGAAATCTTTGCCTACTATGAGTTTATGAGTTTTTCTCATACATTTGTATTAAAATATTATTATTCCTCTGTATCTATTGTGACATCCCCAGATACTGGTTGGTCACATCCCCTAAGCCATCCACTTTGGCTGATCCACCTTCCCTTCACTCCTAGGAAAGAACACTGCCCCATGGGCTAAGGATCTGAAGCAAGAAGACTTTGAGTTGCTGTGCCTTGATGGCACCCGGAAGCCTGTGACTGAGGCTCAGAGCTGCCACCTGGCCATAGTCCCAAGTCATGCAGTGGTCTCAAGTAAAGAGAAGGCAGAATTTGTTCGCAGGGTACTCCTCAACCAACAGGTAAAGATACCCAGGGCTTCCTGCACTCCTCCCTACAACTGAGTGCTCAATTTGTTGGTAGAAACACACTGACATACTCTCCCAGTCTCACAGCTTTCTCTCTGGGCAGTAAAAGTGGATTCTCCTATCCCTGCCTCTGATTAAAGTGGAAGGTTTGTTGCTATGTTCACTTCTTGCTCTGGGACTGTTAAGGATAATTAAAAAAACATACCGTTTCCATCAAGACAACTCTGACTCATGATGGCCCCATGTATGTTAGAGAAGAATTGTGCTTTATGTGGTTTTCAGTGGTTGATTTTTTGGAAGTAGATCACCATACCTTTCTTCTGAGGCTCCTCTGGGCAGACTCAAACCTCCAACTTTCATGGACTGGAAAAGTCTCAGACATTTGGATATCTGAAGTATCTTCCTGAGACTCATTTGACTCTCTGAGCAGATTCATGGTGCATCTTGGGCTTATTCAATTACTCCACAAAAGATATCCCTTTAGCTGTTCTTCTGCATCCTTCACACTAGGCTGAGCTGCATGTGGTGAAAAGCTGACTGGATGTAACTCTACCTGACATATGGATTGACCTGAATGTGTGTGCTGAACCTGGGCAGGCTGAGCACTATTTCAGCCTTCCTAAAATTGAGAGCAAACATTTGGAGAACTTATGACCTCCACAGGTAGCCAAACAGGGATGATCTTGATGGGTAGTGGACTCCCTTTATCACATAATTTTAAGGAAACCCCAAAGCCCTGTCCTCCTTTTGCACTATCACATCTCATTCTCAGAGGTGCCCCCAAACAAGTAATACATCACAATTAGACAATGATGATCCACGGAGACAATGATGACCCACTTAATCTGTTGGTAAGAGGCTCACAGTCTTGGACTTTTGAAAAGGTGAGTCCCACACAGGGGCCAGCTGCCACCTTGGCTACAAGGGAAGTATACTAAGGAAATGAAAGGAGAGGAAGTAGGTAGAAATGGTTGAGCATCTGGGGCATATCCAGAGGATAGAAGAGGCAAGGTAGCAAGGGCTCCATGAAAACATACAAGTAAAATGGAAAAGTTAAAAACACCTGGCAGTGGTGGGAGAAGTAGTGATACAGTGGCAAAGTTAAGCTCCTTCTATTTAACAGGTAGGAACTCTGGTGGTGTAGTGCCTAAGGCATTTGACTGCTAACCAGAAGGCTGGCAGTTCGAACCCACCAGCCACTCCGTGGAAGGAAGACTGGGCAATCTACTTCCATAAAGATTTACTGTCTCAGAAACCCAATAGGGGTCACTATGAGTCAGAATTGACTCGATGACAGTGAGTTTGGTTTGAGTTTTTGGTTTACATACATCAAGGAGCTCTGGTGTCAGAGTGGTTGAAGCATTTGGTTCCTAACCAAAAGGTTGGTGGTTCAAACATATCAGTTTCTATGAGTTGGAATCAACTTGATGGCAATGGGTTTTACAGTCATCATCTCACTACTTACTAATTCCATTTACAAATGAGTATAAGGCTCAGTAAAGAATTTGCCCAAAGTCACACAATAGGTAAAAGATAGGACCGGGATTTGAACCTAGTCAGTAACTCCAAGAACCATGCTTTTTGCCATTTTGCTGTGATGCCTCCTAAACTGTGGCTTGTCCCAGGTTTCTAGGAGGCTGGAGCCAAGCAGCAGAGAAGACTTAAGGTCTTCTGATGCAGAATACATAGCTCTGAGCTTCCTGGTGCTCATAGTCACTCACTGTCTGTCTGCCTGTCCCAGGAGCTCTTTGGAAGAAGTGGGTTTGAATATGCAATGTTCCAGCTGTTCACATCCTCAGGCAAGGACCTGTTGTTCAGTGATGACACCCAATGTTTGGCCAACCTTCAGAGCAAAACAACTTATGAAAAATACTTAGGACCCAACTATCTTATGGCTTTTGATAACCTGAGGCAATGTTCAACCTCCGGTAAGTAGAATAATTCATCAAAGAGTCTTGACAATGAAGGTCAAGGTAAATAGGTTTGTATTGAGGATTATTGTATGCCAAGCCCTAGGCAAGGACTGATAGGAATAAAGCCATGGAGGACCTGTGTCTTGCCCCACAGAAGGATTCAAACTCGCCGATGAGGCACTCAGTTACACAATAGCATAAGACACTCTGAAGAAAGGCCAAGTTGTTTGAAGAAGATAGTGAGTGCAATAGAACTTGAGATGACTTGGGAATTGAACATGTTTACATACATATTTTCACTTTTTGCTAATGAAATGAAAATGTATGTGTGAGCACTTGGCTTGAAAAATGACACAGGTATACCACAGATACAGGACCTATTTTCAAATATTTTAAGTAAATACATAAATAATATTAATAGAACAAATAAATAAAGCATATTCAACACTATAGTAGGCCCTTTCCATATATATATATGTATATATATACATATATGTATATATATACATATATGTTGTTCTTGTTGTTAGGTGCCATCGAGTTGACTTTGACTCATAGCCACCCTATGCACAGCAGAACAAAACACTGCCCCTGCCCAGTCCTGTGCCAGCCTCAAAATCTTTGCTATACCTGAGCCCATTGTTGCAGCCACTGTGTCAATCCATCTCGTTAAGGACCTTCCTGTACATATATATACACATGTATATATACATATATACGTGTGTGTGTGTGTATATATATATACACACACACATGTATATATATACATGTATATATTTATATATGAATGGCACAATTGCATTAAAAAGAAATTAATTGGGGGATAAAATTAGAACTAGGGGAATCAAACTGTTGGGAGTGATCCTGAATTTTTGAATTTTTGCATTGGAGATGATGAAAACAGGATGAAAGGAAAATGGAGGTATTCAAAGAAAACACTTAATCTGTTGGTAAGAGAATGTATTTGTATGTTTAAAAAATTTTTTTTAACTACCATTTATTTCTAGAAAATAGGTACAGAATTGTGTCAAGCAAGCACAGAAAGTACCTGCAGGTCTTTCTTTTATGTTCTTGTCCCACAGAACTTCTGGAGGCCTGCATATTCCATGGAAATTAAAAACTGAACAAAGTGGGGAACCCCACAGATGATCAGAGTCTATAAAAATGGTGGAGCCACATTCTCACTGTCCCTGTGTGAGTTGACATCAGTTGTCTTCATAATTCTGTGCTGTAACTGATGAAAAACTTAAATAAATAAAAGTGATTGTGTCTTCTTGGAAAACATCACTACATTTTTATTTTTTTTAAGAAAAACTATTTCTTTATCCTAGAATTGTGCTTCTGAATTTAGTATCTATTAAACTGTACTTTTAAAAAGAATTCTACAGCTCTAGCTTGATTTCTCATCCTATATTTTCCCCAAGAGTGAAGTCATTAAAGTATAATTTAAGCAATAAATGCCTCCAATTAGAGTCTGAATGGTGATTACAAGTGTGGAAAAAAGCATGCGTGGGTGTAGTATTGAAGGCTTACATAATTAAAAGAAAGTATAAGGTATGGTTTTGTGTACTTAAAAAAAATACATTTTAACATTTAAAATTAGTAAAATCAAGTGAAATTGAACTGTTGATTAATTGGAAAATTACTGCAATCATTCGATCTTACTACCTTTTTGCACTCAAATTCCTGAAAGTGTAATGTACACTCATTTCTTTTAAATGAGTTTATCAGAAGTTTTTCCATATATATTATTACAATAATTTTAGTCTATGTGAGTGCTTCAATGTTGAATGGAAATCAAATTACATATTAAAAGTTAGTTTTATGAATATGGACTTCTGCTTCTGTCCACAAAAGGGTAACCAGTACAGACTTGGTTTCCTTCCATAAACAACTTAAAAAAAAAAAAAAAGGACAAAATATATGAAGCAACTGTTTTCCAGTGTTGGACAATAGCAGTGCAGGACTCTAATCTCTGAAAGAAGCAAAGCAAAAGAGGTGAGCAGAATGAGGAACCTACTTTCTGCCTGGAGGCAATTCCCAGACAGTGGCCTATGGAGGGGGAAGGTCAACACTGATTTGAGGAACAGAGATTGGAGCCTGGGGAAGCCAAGGTGGCTGGAATTTGTGGGGTTGAATACCAGAAAGGATGGAGCTTAGCAAAGAAAAACCTCCACCAAATCTGCATAGAAGCCTCCCTGAGTCTTTGTTGAAATACTAATCTGCACTAATGTGTCCAGAATGAAACTGAAATCCATGAGACCAGGCAAAGAATAACTGAGAGACCTATAAACTGAACAATTCCCAGAGCTCACACAGGACTGGGAATCATTTGAGTTCCTACCAGTCAGCATAAAGAGAGACCTTGTTGAATACTTAAGGCTTTTATTCTTGGAAGAAGGCTAAAATACTCCTAGAATAACGGTTAATAGATGACTGCACTTCCAAACCAAACCAAACCAAACCTGTTGTCATTGAATTGATTCTGATTCATGGTGATCCCATGCATTACAGAGTAGAACGGAGAGCCATAGGGTTTTCTTGGCCATAATCTTTACAGAAACAGAAAACTAGGGCCTCCTTCCACAACACCACTGAGTGGGTTTGAACTGCTAACCTTTTGGTTAGTAGACCAGTAAAAAACATTTGTGCCACTCAGAACCTGGGTAGTCAATTATCTTTTAAAGAAGTTTAAAAATGAGAAAGAAAACTCTTTAATATTTATCCACATATTTACTATTTTTTGACTTCTTCATACATTTGAGTGAGCTAAAACAGATTTTAGTTGTTTTGTGGGTCTGATCTTTCTGGAAAATCTTCATTTCTATAGAGATGTTATTCTGGTTCATATATATATATATATATATATATATATATATATATATATATATATATAGTAATTTCATATGAGATTTGATCTTTGTACTTTCTGTCACTCAGATCTTTGAGGAAAATGGCTTTCTTGAATTTTCAGAATAAAGCTAGGATCATGATAGATTTCCTAACTTCACAGATATCTGTCTTCTGTTATTTTTGTGTAGTGTTCAAAAGCATGGTGGCTTGCTTTCTGGGAATTCCTGGTTCTGTTGCCACGCACTCTTTGATCTAGAGCTTCTTTTTCCTTCATTGTTTACCCTTCCTGCTCAAGTTTTATTTGATTCCAGCAACGCCTCCTGCTCCAGATTGAGCCAGCCCTTCAGTCCTTTATACTGTGGGGCCCTTGTAGCCATCAGTGTTATAGAGGGTAGAACCTTGCCAATTTTATGTGCTTTTCTAAAATTGGTCTGTATTTTTCAATAAAATACCTGTTTGATATATTGACATCTCCCGTCCTTAGTCCCTTCAAATGATGCACTTTTCTTCTCTCTTCACTGCACAGGTACCAATACAACATAGGTCTTGAGGCTGATGGTGATTAAGGGAAATCAATCCAGTCCAATTCTGTTCTGATTACTTTTGTTCTGACTCCAACTGCAAATTCAGTACTTCTTCCTCTGACCCTAACCACCAGAGCTAGGTCAAACTGATTTCACAAATTAAACAACACAGTCCTCTCCAGATGGACCATTTTTTCTAAGACTTCAACTTCCAGCCACAGCTTGAGGGCCTCCAGAGCTCCAGTGGCATCATTAGTGTTGATATCACACAGTGTGGTAGCTCATGGTATCACCCCCCCGGACTTCCTCTCATACCAGATCATACAGAATCCTTAGCAATATTTATTATCAATTTTAATCATAGAATAATATGTGATAAATATAGTTGAAAACTGCTTAAATGTAGTATTTCTTAGATTATATGAATACTAATAACAAAATTCTTTTGTAAAATCTTTCTGCACTGAATTACATTATTAGTTACAACATTATTAGCAACTGAGTTGAAGCCTTTTTTTTATTTTTCTCCTTTTTTTCCTTTAATTGCTGCTTCGTTTTCAAAAAAGTTATTGATATAAACCAAACGAAATTCACTGCCATTGAGTCAATTCTGACTCATAGTAACCCCCTTTGGGCTTCTGAGGTGGTAAATCTTTACAGAAGTAGAGTGCCCAGTCTCCCTTCAGCAGAGTGTCTAGTGGATTTGAACTGCCAACCTTTGAGTTAGTAGTCATATGCCTTAGGCACTATGCCAACAGAGCTCCGTAGTTGTTGATATAGGGTCACAAATACTACTTACCACAATATTGTAGGTAAAACACCAGAAAATTTGACAAAATCAGTGACTATTAAAACACTAGCAGCAACAAAAGGAATAGCATGTGCTTGTAGTGTGTGCAGATGAAACCACATATTTTGAAGCATTATTGTAATTGAGTGATAATGACAGCTTTGACCAGAATGCATTGTTGTTGTTGTTATGTGCCGTCGAGTCGGACCCAACTCATAGTGACCCCTCCTTGGGTTTCTGAGGCAGTATCACTACGGAAGTAGATTGCCCCATCTTCCTTCCGAGGAGTGGCTGGTGGGTTTGAACCGCCAGCCTTCTGGTTAGCAGTCAAGTGCCTTAGCCACTATGCTACCCGAGCTCCCTAGAATGCATTAGAAGGTTTAAAAAGTAAATTAGTGTGGTAGTTAAGGTTGTGTAACAAGTTGGCTGGGCTGTGATTTTGAGTGGCTTGGCAGTAGGATGTAGTTATTCCTCATGATGAAAGTGGACATGGTGCAAACACCTCCGTGGTGTAATCTGCTGTGAGCAGTTAATCAGTTGAAGGAGAGTTGTCTTTGGGGTGTGGCCTGCTTCCAGTGCATGTAGAAAGAATCCTGCATTTGGTTGAATCTTCGTCTCCAGTTCTTGGACTTCAACCAGTGGCCTGCCGTGTTGCTTGCCAATTTTGGAATTGTTACCTTCACAGTCTGTGAGGCAACAATCTGCCATTTTACCTGCCAATCTTGGATTCATCAGCCTTAGCAGCCAGCAGCTGCGTGAATCAGGAGACATGTCCAGCTTGCATCACTGGGCCTGGAAGGCAGAGCTGAAGACCAAGGTCAAGGGGCTTTCACCCAGCCCTTACAGTCAGCACTCTGAACTTGGACATCTAGCCTAGTCTTCTCCTAGAGCCAGTGCTCTGAATTTGGACTTCTAACCTCCTAAACTGTAAGAGAATAAATTTCTGTTTGTTGAAGCCATCCACTTGTGGTATTTCTGTTATAGCAACACTAGAGAACTGAGACAATTGGCGTAGAATTTTAGCATTGTAGGTATATTGATACATGTAACTGGGCTTATGAAAAAATGTTATGTTATAACTAACTACGGGGATACTTTTATTAAAAAATAATATATTTCTGCTTAAATAGTGCACAAAGTTTTTATAGACAGTCATTTTTATGTCACCCCCTCTGACAATGTCACCCAGTGCAGTCTGCACCCCCCCTAGTGATGCCACTACAGAGCTCCTTCACTTCTGACCTGTTAAAACCAAACCAAACTCACTGCATCAAGTTGATTTCAACTCATAGCAACCCTATAAAACAGAGTAGAACTGCCCTACCGGGTTTTCAAGGCTGGAAATCTTTATAGAAGCAAACTGCCTCATCTTTCTCCCACAGAACAGCCGGTAGATTTGAATTGCTGACTTTTTGGTTATCAGACCAATACTAGCAAAAATGGCATAGGGACAGTATCTGACCTCCTCTAACTTCATGAGGAGAAGAAAGAATCATTATTTGTATCAATAGCCCAAAGCTGATTTCTATGAGGTGGAGGTCAGACATGACTTCACCCTCCAACCTTTTTACCAATTCTGACAACTGCCCATCCTATGGCACTTTCTACTCCTCTGCTGGGTTTGATAATTTATTGCAATGGCCACACAGAATTTATAAACAATACTCATGATTTGGGGGTTTATTAGGCCAGTAACAGTTTACAGTCCAGGACCAGAAATGACTCAGGATACAGTTCTTCAATCAGGCGCTCTTTTCAGCAGTGCCTGGAGACACACCTCTGTCTGTCCCTCAGCCTCTAAGCCCTGAAGCTCCTTGGCCTCTGCCCTGCTAGAGTAAATATTACAAAGCCCTTTTAGCTCTGCCAATAAGTGCCCAGAGGCACCCACTCCACTGGTAAGCCTCGGACCAAAGCGCTCAGTTCGAGGAGCTCCATGGGTTGGCAAATTTA